CGTGCAGGGCGGCGTTGGGGGCGAGGGCGACGGCGCGTGAGACCTTGCGCGCGATGTCGGCGCAGCCGATGACGCCGAAGCGGATGGTGGGTGTTTCGGCCATGGAAGTGAGTGAGGTGACGTGGCTGGCGAGGATAAGTTTGGAAGTGGAAGAGGGGATTGTGGAATGAACGAGTAGATCAGTCAAGATTTAACGACAGTACCACGTGCACTGTACTTTATTTATTTTATTTTGAAAAACATTAATTGTGGATGGGGATGCATCACACATTAAGAGTTATTAATTATGTTTTAAAATATTGAAAAAAGTTAAAAATTTATCTTTGAAATATATTGATATAAAAGAATTTATAAGTTAATCATCTATATAATTTATATATTATTAGTGTAAAATTTTTTTACATTAACAATTAATTATATTTTTTAATAGTGTTATGTTATTTATTTATTTAATTAAATAAAAATAAAATAAAATAATTTAAAAGATATGATTGGTTGTCGGTATAAAAAACTTTATATTAGTAATGTATCAATGATTAACTCTTATAAAATTGGTCTTATATAATAATTATTTTTATTAATAAAAAATATTTTTATAATGCTCACTCTAATAAAAAAAATAGAACTCCTAAGATGAATTAAGAATTTAAATTAAGTTCTTCCGATGAAATAAATATAGAAAAATTTCTCTAATAAAAAAAATGTTGAAAAAAGTTCTTAAATTTTAAGTGATATTAAGTGATTCATTAAAAAATGGATTAAGAATTTAAAATAGGTTCCATAATTAGAGATGCACTTAATATTTATGAATTGTAGGTTTTTTTTTTACCTCTTTTTATACTACATTTTATCTATACTATTAAATATATGTCTATATTTAAAATAGGTTCCATAATTAGAAATGCTTTACTTTGTTGTATTTTCAACTTCTGAATATTAGTTAAGTATACATATTTATTTTTGAAGTTTATTGTTGTTCGCATTTACATTTATTTAGTGGTACAATGAAATGTTATTTTGAATATCAGAAATAGAAAGTATAGCCACAAATTATAGTCAATGGACAACTCTACATGTTCAGGTGGTAGCATGAATAATTCATCAAATGGTCCTATTTTGACACTGCCACTGGTAAGCAAGTGCGGTGCTCGAAGCACGTTGAAAACCTCGTGGTCTGAGGATAATTCGGCCAGAAGATTCCATAGTTGTGGTAACTATAATGCGTCTCTAAGACATTGTGATTATTTCAATTGGTATGACCCTCCTACAAATGATTTTCATGCAAATCTCTTCAATAAGCTTAAGAGAGAAAATAACAATTTAAAAGTACAATTAGAAGCAACAAGGTTACATTCGATGGAGGGTTTTGGTTCTTCTAGCGACAACAACAATGGGTTGTCTAGCAATAATGTTGAGAATTCTAGTATTATTGAAGATGATATTAAAAAATTGAAGGCTTAACTTGATGTGGTTAATACAGAATTACAAATTTTGCACAAATTAGTGGGCACAAACCAAGTTGAATTAGAGTTATTGAATGAGAAGGTTGAACGCTACAAAGCTAAAGTGAATAAGCTATTTTTCATCATATTTTCTATATTGATATTTTTTTTTTGCAAAGTTGGTTCATCTTATGTAGTTTTATGGTTATTTGCAGTTGCGTTCATCGTAATCCAAATGCAACACACCACTTGCTTTGGTTTTTTTTGCATTAGAAAGTGGAAAAAGCCCCATGAACTAGTGTTGAACTGTTTCCCAAACACGTATGATCAATGCATATGTATTGTGTAATAGGTTCTAAGTTATATTAATGGTATATTTTGATTATGGGTTTTTTATAACTTTTTTTAATGGCGTTGTATTGTTTATTTTCATCTTATAACAATTTTAAGAATGCATACTTTGAATATACCATATGATGTTGTTGGTTATAGTTTTATCGTTCATGTGGGTGTATTAGTGTTCTTATCATTTATGAGTTAAGTTTCGTTTCAACTATTTATTATAATTTGAAAAATGAAAGAAAAATATTATGTATATCTTCTTTTTCTTCTATACTTACTCTATATAAAAGAAATATTTTTCTTAAAAACCGCCTTGGTCTCCACATTTGTAAGACTATTATATCCTTTTATTATTAATTTATTTTAAATAATTAATTGACATTATTATGAAATCCAGGTGTTAAATTCAAGATGGTAGGAGTGAAGGACAAAGTACCTGTTAAAGCAACATACATTTATTTCTAAATTTTATTTTAGTTTTAATAGAGGCACAAAGTGCCTAGACTGTAATAGTTACCTATTAAGAAACTTATATTTTGTTTAGTATATAATGTCAATTTTTATGGTAATGTATTTGTAAAATTGAAATTAGTAGTTATGTTGAAAAAGTGTAATATGGATATCATCCTCATCTTATGTGAACAATCGTTCTATTCAATTGAATATTGTATATGAAATATCCTTAGGTTATTTAATTTTCTTTTATACTTTTTTTGGATTTTTATTTAATTTAACTTATATTTTATTTTATACGTTTTTGTATTTTCTTTTATTCAATTGAATATTGTATATGAAATGTCCTTAGGTTGAACTCTCGACGAGGCCAAGCTGCAGAATGAGGCCGAGCTTCAAGCCACTAGGAGGGAGTTGGTGAGAGTTCAGAAGTCTTTGGAGATTGCTCTGAGGGCTAGTGAGACTCACGTTGCCCAAGTGGGTGAGCTACAGGGACTCGTTAGTTCTTCCCGGGGTCGGGTGCGCATTTTAGAAGATGAGGTGACTGTGCTGAAAGTTGATTTGGCGGCGGTGGCCGAGAAACGTCTTTGCGACAAGGTGCTTCTTGGTGGGAAAGAAGAGGAGGTCGCCGCTCTGAGGGCGGAACTTGACAAGATGGTCGCGGCGAAAGCGGAGCTAGAGAGGCGCCTTGCCGAGACAGAGCGACATGTCTTGGTGGAGCACGAGAGAGGCTTCATCAAGGCAGCTCGCCAGGCGAGGCTACTTGCACCTGGGGTCGACTTCTCCGCTATGCACGTAGAGAAAGAGGTGCGCTTCGAGCGGCTAGTGAAGGAGGACGACCTCCAGGAAAGCTCAAGTGAGAATGTCTCCGCCTAGGCTGGCTTTGTAATAACTTAGCTTGTTTTTTTGTTTTTTCTTTTGAATTCATGTTTTGAACTTACAAACAATGTTGTGTATATATAATTTTCTTGAGATTTCACCTTTGCGCTGTTGATGGTTCTACTTTGACCTTTTGTTTTTTGCGCGTGAAGTGGACTTCGGTTGTAGGCTTAGTTTTAGCCCGTTTTTGTAATTTGAAAACACATTTAGACTTGGCTTAGTTTGAGGTGATTTGCACCAAGGTTCGAGCTCGACCTTAGTGTTAGATAAAACAGTTCATGCTAAGGTTCGAACTCGACCTCAGTGTAAAATAAAATAACGTGTACCGGGGTTCGAACTCGACCTCGGATTAAAATTTTGTTCTTAAAATTCATATTAAGGTTCGAACTCGACCTCGTGTAAGATAGAACAATTCATATTAAGGTTAGAACTCGACTTCGTGTGAGAGAGAACAATTCATATTAAGGTTCGAACTCGACCTCGTGTAAGGTAGAAAAATTCATATTAAGGTTCGAACTCGACCTCAACTTAAGTTTTCATATCGAGGTTCGAACTCGACCTCGGGTTAAGATTTTGCACTAAGGTTTGAATTCGACCTCAGCGTCAGATGAGATAATTCGTGCTAAGGTTCGAACTCGATCTTAGCATAAGATAAGATAGTTCGTACTAAGGTTCGGACTCGACCTTAGCGTGAGAGGAAATAATTTGTACTAAGACAATGTAAAATTAAAAGACTATGAATAGAATGAGTCATTTTATTAATGTAGTGGGTGTGCCTCGTTAAAAACCCTCTCAGCCAAAATCCATTTTTCTGTTTTTTGGGACAAAAGACTAAGTTGGGAAAAGAGTGCACAGCTCATTCGTACAAGTTTAACTAAAGTAGAACTTGAGGTGCGTGGCATTCCAAGTTCTTGGGATGGCTTTGCCGCTGAGCTCTTCCAGGCGGTACGCCCCGTTTTCTAAGTTTTCTGTGACTCGGAATGGGCCATCCCAGTTGGGTGCGAGCTTCCCTTCTGACGAGTCTCTGCGGGCGTCTCCTAGGAGTCGCCAGACCAAGTTGCCAGCTCTGAAGGAGCAAGCCGGACTCGCGTGTTGTACCTCCTGGAGGCTCGAAGCTTGCAGGCCTCTTCATGAATTCGAGCTTCGTCTCTGAGCTCGTCAATCAAGTCAAGGTCGGTTGCTATCTCTTGAGCGTTCTGCTCGCTGTCAAAAACCTGGCGTCGGTGGGATGCTTCCCCGACTTCCACTAGGATCATGGCGTCAGCTCCATAGGTTAGCCTGTAAGGCGTTTCCTGCGCCGTTGATTGAGGGGTGCAATGGTACGCCTAGAGGATGCTGGGGAGCTCGTCGACCCATTGTCCTTTGGCACTTCCCAACCGCTTCTTAAGTTCTCGAAGGATCACTTTGTTTGCGACTTCAGCCTGGCCATTAGTTTGGGGGTGCTCCACCGAGGTTGGGAGGTGCTTCACACCAAGCTCGCGGAGGAAGTCTTCGAAGCTCTGTGCGATGAACTGTCTTCCATTATCGGTAACGAGGGAATGCGGGATGCCAAACCTGCATACGATGTTCTTCCAGGTAAACTTTTGTATGTTCTCGGTAGTGATCTTGGCGAGTGGGCATGCCTCGATCCACTTGGTGAAGTAGTCTATTGCCACTAAGAGAAATTTGAGCTGACCCTTTGCAGGGGGGAATGGTCCTAGGATGTCCATTCCCCACTAGGCGAAAGGCCACGGCGACATCATCTAGTGGAGAGCTTCGGGCGGCTGCTGGTGTGTATTGCCGAACTGCTAGCATTCCTTGCATCTTTGCACGTAGGCTTGGCAGTCCGACTTCAATGTAGGCTAGTAGTAGCCGGCTCGGAGTACCCTGGTCGCCATTGAGCGTGCTCCGAAGTGCATACTGCATATTCCTCGATGTATCTCCTCGATGACATACGTAGCTTGAGGCTCGGTCAGGCACTTGATTAATGGGGCAGAGATGCCGCATTTGAACAGTTCATCTCTAACAATGACGAACTTAGCTAACCTTACTCTCATCTTCCGAGCTTCATCTTTATCCTCAGGCAAAGTTCCCTCCTTTAAGTAATTCCAAATACTTGTCATCCATCCTTGGTCTCCGCTATCACTGGTGTTGACGACCTTGTCGTCCAAGCTAGGTGAATGCAGGGTCTCTTGGATGATGGTTCGATGTTGCCCAGGGCGTTTCGTACTGGTGAGCTTCGACAGGAGGTCAGCTCTGGCATTTTGTTCTCGGGGTATATGATGTATGGTGAACTCGTCGAAGGAAGAGATCTACTTTGATGCCATATGGAAGTACCTTTGTAGAAGGGTATCCTTGGTCTAGTATGCCCCGCTGAGCTGCTCTACCATGAGCTTTGAGTCGCTGTTGCAGCTCACTTTCCGCGCTCCGACATCGTGAGCCAACCTTAGCCGTGCGAGAAGCGCTTCGTATTCCGCCTGGTTGTTTGTCACTTTGAAGCCAAACTTGAGAGATTGCTCCAAGGTGACCTGATTTGGTCCTTCCAAAATGATACCTGCACCACCGCCCTTAGAGTTGGAGGATCCATCAACATGTAAAATCCATACCTGTTGTTCGCCAGCCGAGGTTGAAGTTAGTTCGGCCACAAAATCTGCCAGGCATTGGGCTTTCAGGGGGTCGCGGCTTTCATACTTGATGCCGAACTCGGATAGTTCTACCGACCATGCTATCATCCGTATGGCGAGCTCCCGCTTCCTCAGGATTTGTTTGATTGGGTAGTCGGTTTTTACGACCACTTGGTGGCTTTGAAAGTAAGGTCGGAGACACCAAGCTGCGATGACAAGTGCTAGTGCGAGCTTCTCAATCATCTGATACCGTTTCTCCGTGTCTTGGAGAACTCGGCTGATAAAGTAGATCGGCGTCTGCACTTTATGGTGCTCTTGTACTATAACTGCGTTGATTGCGCCTTCTGCCACGGCCAGGTAGACGAGGAGGTCGGCGTGGTGATCCGGTCTCTGGAAGATTGGCGGAGTCGTGAGGAAGACTTTGAAGCTCTTGAAAGCCTCTTTGCACTGGTTCATTCACTCAAAGTTCTTCGGTTTACCCAGCAGGGTGAAGATGGGCCCTGCTTTCTCTGCCAACCTGGGGATAAAACGCGAAAGAGAAACCAACCTTCCTGCGAGGCGCTAGACGTCTTTCACAGTTTGAGGGCTCTGCATCTGGATAATGGCTTTGCACTTCTCCAGGTTAGCTTCAATGCCCCTGCTGGTGATCATAAAGCCCAGGAATTTTCCTCCCTGGACGCCAAAAATGCACTTCTCTGGGTTGAGGCGCATGTTGTGTTTTCTGATCTGGCTGAACACCTCAGCCAGATCAGCAGCATGTCCTTCGGCTGAGGTTGTCTTGACCACCATGTCGTCAACGTAGACCTCTATATTCTGCCCTATCTGTTGGTGGAAAACCTTATCCATTAGTCGTTGGTAAGTGGCCCTTGCATTTTTGAGACCGAATGGCATTACTCGGTAGCAAAAATTGGCATGGTCGGTGATGAACGACGTGTGCACTTCGTCCGGGGGATACATCATGATTTGGTTGTACCCAGAATAAGCATCTAGAAAATTGAGGAGGGCGTGCCCAGATGCTCCATCAACCAGCTTGTCGATGCTCGGTAGGGGGCATGAGTCTTTGGGGCATGCTTTGTTCAGGTCAGTATAATCGACACATGTGCCACTTCCCCGAGCTCTTCTTCACCAGTACCACGTTTACCAGCCACGTGTTGTATTTGACCTCACGGATGAAGCCCGCGTTTAGCAATTTTTGTGTCTCGGTGATGATAGCGTCTCGCCTCTCACCGCCGACCTTTCGCTTCCTCTGGGTCACCTGTTTTGCCTCTCTGTGGATTTCCAACCTGTGATAGATAAAGTTAGCATCGATACCTGGCATGTCGGTGCTGGACCATGCGAAGAGGTCGGCATTCTTGGAGATTTTGGCTTCAAGTTGTTGCCATAACTCCGGGTTTAGCTGTCTACTTATCTTTGTACATTGTCCAGGATGGGAGTTGGCCGCTCGTCATGAGATTCTGAACTTGGGTCCAGGTTAGTGATGGGGACCTGGGATATGTGAGCTATAGTGGGAGGGTCGCTTTTGAAACGATCTTCGGACGACGAGACTTTCATGCTTTCGGCATAGCACTGCCGAGCTGTCTTTTAGTTTGCTTTGACTGAGATGATTTTTCCATCATTCCCTGGGAACTTCATTGTCAAGTGTGGAGTGGATACCACGGCTCCTAGCTGGTTGAGGGTAGGCCTACCGATGATAATGTTATACGACATATTGGCCTCGACGAGAAGGTAGCGGACCATGATTCTTCTTAAATCGGGGCAGGTTCCGAAGGTTGTCAGTAGATCCACGTACCCCCGAGTGTGGACTCGTTCTCCTACAAAATCGACTAGAGGTTCTGTGTGAGGTTGGATAAGGGAGTGGGGGATATCTAACCTTAGGAACGTCGGCCAGTATAGGACATTAGCCTATCTTCCTTGCTCGATCAGCGTCTTATGGACTTCCCAGTTGGCGACCTCCAAGGCGATGATCATTGGGTCGTCTTGATTGGGACAAACGCCAATGTAGTCGTCGTCAGTGAAGTTGATTGGTGGTGAGCTCGGGTGCGAGGCCGAGGTGGCGGAGTGGACATTTTTGATGCTGCGCAGGTGTCTTTTTCGTGCCGAGCTACTGGAGCCTCCCCCTGCGAAACCACCTGCAATTGTGTTGACAACTCCTCGCAAGGGAGTTGACCCTGTTTCTTGGCTTACCTCGGCCTGCACTGCTCCACCACCGTTTTGTTGAGATCCAGAGGGTTGGTATGTGCGGGTGGCCGAACCGCGACCTCGCCCTTGTCCTCGTCCATTGTAGCCTCCTTGGTGACTTTGCTATCGCTGGACATATTGCCCGAGGTGACCCACCAGGACAAGTTCTTCTATACGATCTCTGAGCGTGCGGCATTCCCCGGTGGTGTGACCTGGTTTCTGTGGTACCGACAATGCTTGGATTTGTCGGCGCTGTTGGGGCTGTGTCCAGGTGGTGGCAGGGTGAGCAGGTTACTGTTGTTGGCCTCCTCCAGGATGTGTACTCGGAGCGCATTCAGGGGAGTGTAGAAGTCGTATCTCCCCCCTTTATTTTTCCTAGTAGCCTTCTTGAACTGACTGTCGTTGGTGACCTTCACTTTATCCTTGTGGCCTTGATCCGACTTCGTCTATGACTTTCCGCGGACCTGGTCACGAAAAGCAGAGTACTCTTCCATCTAGATGAAGCCTGCAGCTCGGGCACAGAGTTAGTCCATGTCAGCAGGAGGTCGCCAACACAGGTTGTCGACGAACAGTCCTGGCTTGAGTGCCATGAGCATGGCGTGTAGGGCGACCTCGGGATTCAAATTTTGAATCTTAACCAAGACGCTGGCAAAACGCTCCATGAACGTCCTTAGTGGTTCATCATCGCTTTGTCTCAGACTGGCGGGGGCGGCTAATGTGACGTGATGAGGTCGGCTTGTTGCATACTGTGCCGTAAACTGTCTGACTAGGGTGTCGAAGCTGTCGATTGATCACGCCGGCAGTTGGGTATACCAGGCGAGTGTTGCCCCCTTGAGGGAGGTCGAAAAAACCCTACACAGAATAGCATCATCATTAGTGTACAGGTTTACCTATGTAACGTATAGGTCGATGTGCTCATCTAGGTCAGCAGTGCCATGATAACAGTCGATGTTTAGAGGCTTCCATCCGAAAAGGAGGGGCATCTCCATAATGCCGTCCACGAAGGGGTGGCGGCGGATGCTCGCTCTATGTCCTGGGTCTTGGGCGGGCACGTTGCTGACTTCATGGGCCGACCTATTCGTTGGCGCTTGCGACCGATGTGTGGTAGGCTTGGGGTTCGGTGCCCTAGGTGCATTCGGTGGTTGAGAAACCGAGTGCCCCTCTTCCTCGTGTTGGTTACTCGATTGAGGGGGTTGATCATAAGGGCGTCGAGGGAGCTGGGCACGAATGCGCTCATTCTCGGTGCGGAGCGCCGCTAGGTCAGTTTCATTCGCGACACGTAGCTGCGAGGTCAGTTTCGTGCTTGGCACGAATGCTCTGCAGGTCGTTGGCGTGTTGTTGTCGCATCTGTTTGACCTGTTTAATCAGTCTTCTCAATGCTGCTTCGCTGTCCATTCTAGTTGTGCGATCTAGGTCGTCTGTTGCTCGTCTACTATGGCTTCGGGTGAAAACCATAAGCATGACCGATAAGAGTTGTCTTGATCGGCCCCACGGTGGGCGCCAAATGATCTTACCCAGCAGATCGTCCCCTACGACCGATCTCCAGTAAGAACAATTAGTATATTTTCCAATACGAAGAAATGGATAACAAACTGAGATAGTAATAGTTTAAAATGACAAACCTCTCATTTTCGAAGCAAAACTTCAAATGAATCTTTGATGTTGTCAATGTTAGCCATGAGAGAATGCAGTAATGAACACAAAAACGAAAACTAACTCAGAGAAATAAAGCCTAAGACAGAGAAACGAAAATGGCTTTGAGAAAAACAAAACAAAACTATGAGAGAGGTTATTAAGTTTAGTTTACGATTTAAAAAAAAGAACTAGTTAGTGGTTTGACACGTGTAGTGCTTTTTAGTATTTACGAAGAGTTGTAAGTTTTAACCAACAGTTTTATTTTGTTTATTCTATCTTAAAAGTTTTTATATTTTTTTGTAACCAAAATTTAATACTATATTAAATTCGATTGACTAACATACAATATTTATTAGCTGTGCACAATTACTAGTTTTTCTTTTTGTAACTCAAGGATAATATTCTACAAAGTCAGGAATATTTGATGGTGGTGTCAGGATTTTGTGATTCACAATAGAGGATAAGCCTCATTTTTAACAATTTTAATTTATGATGCATCGTCCCAATAGTAATGTTGTAATGGTTCCCCACAATTTTTCAACACAAATTCTGCCTTAATAATGATAGTATCCCTGCACGAGAATCCTATAGGTGACGTGAGATGACTGGTGGTGTATGTTGACATGACTGCTACGTGTGTTGAGTTGCTCGAAATAGTTTAGGAAATGCAACCACTTGCAACATGTAACTTCATTTCCAAAAAAAATTGAGTATTACCATGTTTTCCCCTCATACATTGTATAATGGTACAAGGCTAGCATGTTTATTTGAATGACTACACCTCGTCTCAAATTTTGATACATTTATCTTGTTATTATTTTTTTTCTATTTTATTGTAATAAACATTTGATGATTGGTGACTATATTCAAGTATTATTAAAAGGAAAAAAATTAATTATTTATTACTTAAGGTCATGGACTACATGTTAAATATATTAAAAAAAAAGACTAAATACAAATGATGAATTTAAATAATCCAATTAATTTAAGAATAATTGGACAATTAAATAAATTAGTTAAAAGGCTAATCATTAATGTTGATTAGTAGATTAAATGAGGTACATATAAGTACATAGTTTAGGGTTTAATCAAATAAATAATATATATATATATATAT